TACCTGTCATAACCTCCCTCTCTGCCCAGGACTGCAGAGTTAGGAGATAATTTCCAGCTTCAGACTTTTCCCACGGAAGAGAGCAGATTGGGATATATATTTAACATTCTTGGTTTGGGGAGGGAGACGCTGAAGAGGTCTCCTCCTCCTCCCCCTCTCCCTCCTCCTCTCCCTCCCCCTCTCCCTCCCCCCCACCTCCCCTCTTCATTTTAGGTTTCTAAGGGAGTAGCTAGTTTATCTCACCAGACTTAGAGCAATGAATAGAACAGTCATCCAGGCTGTACACTTACTTGTAGGATGCTGAGAACAAAGGTAAGCATGGTAAGACTATGGCAGTATCACAGAGACTACAGTATTACAGAAAGTCACAAGAGGGAGCAAGAGGTCAGGGGCTCAAGGAGAGAGTAACCCTCATAGAGAAGACTGAACTGCAGAAAAGGCTTAAAAGAATCCTCAGAATCTACATCTGGGCGGATCTTCCTGCACAAAGCCAGTCCGCAAAAAAATAGAAACAATGGCTATTTTTTTTAAATGCTCATATCTCAATACAAATTGCAAAACCTACTAGAAACAGGGAAACATGGCCCAGTGAAAGGAACAAAATGAATCTCCAGAAAGCAACACCGTAAGACATGCATTACTTGATAAATATTTCAAAAATATCATTTTAAAAATGAGCAATAAGCTAAGTCAGAGAATACAGACAGACAACTGAAAAGTCAGGCAAATAATGCAAGAACAAAATGAAAAATAATATTCTCACTTTTAACTTTTATTAAGAGATCAATTTTTTTATAAAAGAACCAAACAAAATTCTAGAACTGAAAAAATACAATAAGTGGATAGAGTATTTCACTACATGAGATTAAAAATAGACTACCAATCATATAATCAACCTACAGGTCAATTAGAAATTATTGAGTCAGAAGATTTAAAAAGAGAAAAAGATGAAGCCGGGCATGGTGGTGCACACCTGTAATCACAGCCCACAGGAGGCTGAGGCAGGAGGATCACTGTGAGTTCGAGACCAGCCTGGGCAACATAGTGAGTTCCAGGTCAGTCTCAACTACATAATGAGACCCTGTCTCAAAAAACAAAAACCAAAGAAAACAAAAGAGAGAGAAAAAAGGATACCAAACATTGAAAAAAAATCAAAAGGACTTATGAGACACCATCAAAGATAGTTATATGCATTAGGAGTTTCAGAAGAAAAAGATAAAGGATGAAAAGTTTGTTTAAAGAAATATTGACTGAAAATTTTTCAAGTGAAAGAAAAGAAATGGACATACAAAGTCAAGAAGCTTAATCACCTGCAGCTAGGATAAAACCCAAACATAAACTGAGATATATTATAATTTAACTGTCTAAAGTCACAGACTGAAAATGTTAGAGAGAAAAGCAATTTATTCAGTTAATGGGAGATCCCATAAAATTATTAGTGAATTTCTAAAACAAACTTTTTATACTGGAGAGAAAGTGTGAAATATTCAAAGCACTGAGTAAAAACAAAATGTCAGATAAGAATATTATACCTACCAAACTTATGGAGAAATTAAGACTTTTTCAGACAGATATAAATTGAGAAATTCACCTCTAGACTTACTCCTCAAGAAATGCCAAAAAGAATCTTTGAAGTCCAAATAGTAGGACACTAGACAGTCAAATAAAAACATATAAAAATATTATTCTCTCTGATAAAGATGGAAATACAGCCAACTATCGAATATTATAGTACTATAATGATACAGAAATCATTTTTAATTCTGGTATATAACATATTTCAGCAATATTTCACATATTTGCACATTTCCAAACTCATTTTCTGTAACTAGCATTACCCTGATACTAAAGCCATAAAATAGTATTATCAGGAAATAACTAAAAGTAAATATGATTAGTCTTGATATACAAATCTTAAACAGTATACGAGTAAATAAATTTTAATGGCACACTTAAAGGAAAATACACCATGACCAAGTAGGCTTATCCTAGAATGCAAGGATGGGTCAACATCAGTGTAATAAACCACATTAAAAGAAAGAAGAAGAAAATAACATAATTACCTCAACTGATGCCAAAAAAGCACTTGACACAGCACTTGGGAGGCTGAGGCAGGAGGATTGCTACAAGTTCAAGACCAGCTGGACTACATAGTGAGTTCCAAGTCAGTCTCAACTATATAGTGAGACTGACAAACAACAAAAAACAAACAACAAACAACAAAAACAAACAACAACAAAAAAGCACTTAACAAAATCATGCATCTTTTTGTGATAAAACTCTCACAAAAGTAGTAAGAAGAGATGTTGCCACTTAGATCTGGGGTGTTCCTCCAACCTTATGGTTAGAGGACATCTTAGAGGACAGATCTTTAGAAGGTAGTTGATTATGGGGGTGAATAGCTGAAGCGCTATTAGGGGTTGGGATCTCACTGGAAGTTAGGGTCACACGTCCTGGAAAGACATCTCTCTCTCTCTCTCCCTCTCTCTCTCCCTCCCTCCCTTCCTCCCTCCCTCTCTCTCTCTCTCCCTGCATGGAACTTCAATGAACTCTATGTTTAAGTAAAGATACAATAAAAATATAAAGACAAAACAAAATTACTCCGCATGAGTAGTTAGAATTTACTCTTGATAATATAGGGAGGGACAAGCTACATACACAGTGCAGTAATTAATGAGACTAACAACGGTGATACCTACTCTTATGTCTTCAGATAGATGAATAAATTGGAAGTTAATAAATGAAAATATTCTTTTAATATCAAACTTAAATAGATTCATTTTCAAGGAATTAAGAAAAAGAAAAAACTGCCAACTGACTCTAGCTAAAGGAGATATTTAAGGGTCTTTTAAACATGAAACACTTATTCCAAATGAAAACATTGGATATGCAAACAGGAAAATAGAATAAATAAAATTATGTGGTTATATCAAAGTATACAATGAATGGATAAACTATTAGTGACAACAATATATATATTTTCAAACTTGAAAATGTATACTAACAGAATTTAGGGAGAAAGCACAGCTTATGAAGATACTAAAGTGTTTTTTTGTTTTGTTTTGTTTTTGGTACCGGGGATCGAAGTTGGGCCCTTGTGCTTTTGAGGAAAGTGGTAGAAACACTGAGCCAAATCCCCAGCCCCTAAAGTGTTTTTCAGGGTTGAGAAAGAATAAAATTACTAATCTACTAGACACTCATGAGTAAACACCACATGCAGTGAAATGTAGGGCACTAATAAAAGAATATTAAAAGAGTATTAAATTGAGATACTTAAAATTATAATAATTATAATTACATATTTACATGTACAAACAAGATGCATAAATAGTATATTAAATAATATGTAGATATATCAAATATATGGAGTAATATTTAATTATTACAAAGTATTTATATTTAAAATATCTTCATGTTGCTTTAATGAAATGAGTATAAAGATGAAAGTTAAAGAGAAGTATATTATGCATTACAAACCAATAGATACCTGATAGTCGATATAATATCCTTAAAAAATAATTGTTATTAGAAATGAAGAAGCACATGTATAATGGCAGATTGTCCAAACCACTGACAATGTTTTTTGAAAAATGTGTATGAACCCCAAAATACAAGTTTCACATAGAACTGAAAGAAGTAAATAAGTAAACAATCATTAATGGATATTTAAGCACTTCTTAAAATTAAGCACATTGTTGCTTATCACACAAGCAAATGCAATAGGTAGGCTACAGAAATACTTAAACTAGATAACCAATAAATATGTACACAAACATTAAAATATAAACCATGGAAAAGATGTAATAAAAGACTATTGAAGAATAAAATTGAGACCGCACAAATATTTTAATCTGTATTGAATGTAAAACTATCACCACTCAACATCTACTTAAGCAGATAATAAACCATATTAAGAATATTTATATATTTTTCTCACTGAGTTTATTGGTACATTTTAGGCATACAGTACAGTTACATTCATCTTTGGGCTCTTGCACCTTTACATGACAGGTCTTGGTTCTCATTTTTTCCCCTTACCCCTGCCCTCCCCTCACCCCCTCCTCCCTTCCGTATTTACAAAAACTTTCTTTCCATTTTTTCATTTTCTCATATTTTTAATATCTATATGACATAGAGATTCCGAGAATGTGTACACTTATGACCAAATGCAGTCAAACAAAAAGAACGTGAGTAAAATCACATGTATTAAACTGAATTTCTTATAGAAACCTTTCTATACAGCAATTCTAGAAACTCATAAGGAATCCATCCCGAACAGAAACATTGAGAAACATAGCAGAGCTCCTACATAGGACTTCCGGCTATACAAAGGACGGCCGCCTACGGAAGCCTGGTGGAATCCATCGCGAACAGTAACATTGAGAAACATAACAGCACTCCTACACAGGGCTTCGGGTTATACAGAGGACGGCCGCCTAAGGAATCCTCAGAAGCAAGACTAGCAGTGCATGTTCTAATTTGTCTCTCTGTGAACATTAGTAAGGAAAGACATCTTACCGTACAATAAAAATACAATATAGATTGGCAAGTCTGATTTTATTTCAGAAATTCAAGATTGAATATTCAAAATTACTACTTGAAGAAAATATAAGTAATTTTTCATAAACATACAGAAAAATCCTATCTCCCAGCTGGAGAAAAAATGATAAAACAAAATCAATTGACAACAAAATCTAGTAGAAAATAGGGAATATTATAGAACTTCTTCGGTAAGAGAAAGATATGATGAAAAATATCATAAATCAGGATGTTGAAATTCTCTCCCCTAAAATATATGATGAGACATACGAGAAATATAGAGCATTCAGTTTAACACTGGAAAGAAAACAGCCGATAAAAATAAGTCAAGAAAAAAACAAATTTTGCACTTGGAAAAAAACGTGTGACTGTTAACAGGTAAAGTAGCTGCTTAGGAAGAAAATCCCAAAGAATCTTTACTTGAGTAATAGAATTAACACATAAAGTTAGTGAAGCCACTGGCTGTAAAATCAGCACACAAACATCCATGGTGTTTCTATTCACAGTATGAAAAATTACCAGTGCAAATATTAAAGGAAGGGCACCATTACAAAGCATGTATGCAAATAGCTGTACCTCCAGTAAGACGGGAACGTCAAACACACAAAACATGGTAGAAAAGAAAGTAAGCTACGTGTTGAAGACGCTAGCATGAGAATGGTTGGAAACAGCGATATTGTAACTATGGTTAAACGTCAAAAAAATTACCTTAAAGACCAAATGTAGTCTCAAACATAATCCCAGAGGATTTTTTTCAACAACTTTGTTGAAATGTAATGGAAATAGCACGGAATTTGCAAGGCAGAAGTGCCTCCATTTTGAGCTGCTGTGCGACGCCCACCCCAGGCTGTTCCAATTTGTGTTGCCTATTGCTAGATTCCAAAGACTAGAATGGTGTCTGTGTCAGTCTGCCTGCTTCTGTAACCTCGCTTGCTCACAACCCGTAGACGAGGTCAAACAGCTTCAAGGTTGACTGCAGAGTTTTGTCTGAAATAGATGGCCAAACCTACAAACAGCCTGCGGACGAGCGGAGCAGCCCAGCCCAAGGTTCCACGCTTGTAACAAGCCCAAGGTTGCATGCTTGTCCAGCCCTATAGAAACCCTGCTTTTTTGTGATTCAGGGCTCCACTCCCTTTGAGAGTGGGGTCCACATGCATGAATAAACTTCTCATAGTCCTCTGGATTTTCTGTCTCTGTGCTGGTTATTCTCATTTGGTCTAACAGAATTCATCCATGAACATGGCTGTATATCAGTGGGTTTTTAGTATTCATATAGCTACAACTGTAAATCCAGTAACAGTTTTTGAATAATTCTGTTGTTAGAAATCATATGATTCAATTTAAGACCTGTATGATCATAGTATTATTTCCATTTCATGAAGAAGAAAATTACCTAACAGTCTTCAAATTCAGGTGTATGAATTCTAAAGTTTATGTTTACAGTTGTAAGTGTGTGCTGATTCACAAGTGTCTGCAATAAAGCCAGATGAGGACAGCCTAACACAGTGGTCTTCGTCAGACGACGATTTCTGTATTCTGTAATGGTGAAAAGGGCACCTTTAAGTTAGATTTTGGGGGAGTGTCCTACAAAACAAAAGCATTTTCCTGTAAAACAAAGTAATATATTTTCAATGATATATTAAATAGATGATGACTTTTCATATAATATTAGTAAGAGTTGATATGTAGAAAAAACCCATTCATTCATATTTATACTACTATTTCACAAACTTGCAACATATTTCTGCAAGTGCTTAATTCCAATAAATTAATAATAACATTCTTCTGAATTTTTTTTATATGTCAGGTATCAATTTTTAAAACTTACTGCAGGTTGAATCTTGAGCCATTTACCCACAGCCAAGGACGATCACGACTGAAACGGGAGACGCCAATCCAAGATGGACGGGAGAGAGTCTCTAGCAATTTCTATCAGAAACAGTTTCATTTACATAACCAGTATGAAAGCTTTCATTATTTAAAAAAATAATGTATTATTTTGCATGATTCTTAATGTTTAAGATAAAAAGTCAATAAGATAAGCCATACTAAAGTTAAAAACAACTTCTGTATTGCTGTTTTCAAAAGTGTTTTTATTACTGACCAAAAACTAAAGCATAGATGTTTATTCTTAGAATTTGCCTTTTTCTTATGTTAATAGTGGAATGCTGTGCTTCCTGTAATATAATAGCCATGTTAACAAAACAATCCTAATAAAATTTAAATAAATTTCTAAACACTGTATTAAATTTTCCGGATGTGGACTGAAAAAAGCGTATTTTTTCTAACAGGTTTCCCAGAGTTTGGACTTAGAAGGAAATCATCCAGTTACTACTGAAGAATCAATGATGTGCATCCAAAACCATGGGTTTCTAGTCACCACACCACTGTGAGCTAAATAATCCGGCCCTTCCCGCCTGCAGTAGTGGAATACTGATGGTTCACAAAAAACCACCAACTTGTTTTCCCTGTTTCTTTCTGATAGACTTGTGGATCACTGAATGACACAAGAAAGGGAGAGTTCTAAAGAGCAGAAAGGAAAAGGTGAAAAGGTTTGGCCCCAGGTTTAGGGATCCGGAGTGGGGCGGCTTCTCACATCTGTGATCAACACAGAAGAGCTGGGCCTGCAGCCTGCCTCCCCAGCCAGCAGTGATCCGAGGCTCTGCCAGCTCCGCGCCCCCTGTGGAGCGGGAGTCCCTCCAGCGCTCCCCACCGGGATGGGCGCCAGGTCAGGGCCACCTGTCAGGAGCTCAGCCCTCAACAAGCTTCTCCTCCAGAGACTGCAGGGCAGAGACGGGTGTGAGCCTCAGCAAGGGTTTGCAGGACTGCAAACGCTCCATCCAGGAAGCATTTGAGTGGATAGGAATCTGCTGCATTCCGAAAATTAGCAAACTAAAGTGCTAAACCGTACAAGGGAGAAAGAAAAAAGACATAAAAATACATCAGCATGATTACATTCACATAAAGCTCAAAGCCAGGCAAAACTGATTTAGCAAAAGTCAGGATGGTGGTGCAGGAGGAAAAAGGACCCGTGAGATAATTGGGCCAGGGAGGCTGGAGGCTGCAAAGTTCTATTTGTGATCTGACTCTGTTCTCTTTGTAATCCATCTGCTGCATCATGAGATGTTTAGAGATCTTTACGGATGGCAAAAGTGACAGCAAAGGTTATTTCAGAAAAAAGCTTTTGTATGAGCTCAGCTTTCTAAGCAAAGCAAAAACAAAATAATTAAATGTGCATTAGCAGTAAACAATAAAAATCAAGTATTGTAAAGTTAAACAGTAAAATATTAAATAGACTTTTAACTTAAATATATATATAAAAGAATATGGATGAGTTGTACAAATATAATGCTGGCCAAAATGAAGCTTTTAAGTTACTGAGACACTTAAAATCTTACCAGTTCTTCCTCATTGTCTAAGAACAACAGGCTTGAGTTCTTAGAAGCGCAGGACGCCAAACTCTCCATCCATGTTTTCTTTTCCACACCGAGGTAATAACAATTGTTGGAAAACGTTAGCCATTTCTTTGGACAGCGGCCACAGCGATATGCTGAAGAATGATTATGAATTTCTATCAAGAAATATTGTGAATTTTTTTTTTCTTTTTTTTTTGTACTGGGGATCAAACTTGGGTCCTTGGGCTTGCAAGGCAGGCTGCAGAACTGCTGAGCTAAATCCCTGGCCCAACATTATGTGAATTTTTAAAAATTAAAAATAAGTTTACATGTTTACAATCATATAAACATATATGTAATAACATATCTACAAGGCCCCACAGGCTGATACATATCAAACAAAACATGGACTTATACACAAAAGCAACAGAAAAGGTCAGCCACTCATCTTGTAAGATATATGCGCTAATAAATAAATTAAAAATAAAAGCTTACCCTACCAGCATCTTGAATCAGTGAATGAAACCTCTTTCTAGAATAGTAAATTTATCTCTCATCATGTTATATTAGTAGGAAATTTTAGCCAAACATCCAAAAGATTGTACAATAATTTTAATTATCTTATTGAATAAAAATGAATCTCTCCTATAATCTTTATAAACACTTAATGCCCATTTTCTAGCTTGTCTTCCCCCAAGAAATCTATTATCATTTTTTGTGGCCTAAGTTAGATACAAAAAATAATCTATGCCAATGTAATAACTTTGAAAATACCATATACCTTTTGGAGTTCTTACCCAGGAAGATTTGTTCTTCTCCTGTATGACAGTAGCTGCAAAGAGTAAAGTAATTCTTATACACATTATTATCTGAGTAAACCATAGTGCTTTCAATTCTCTTTTGAAATTTATAAAATTTTTACAATTAGAATAATGTAGAATAAAGTTAAGTTTACCAAGAAAATTAATAAAGCAATGAAGTCTTTGGGAAAGTTATTTCAGTAAAAGCCTAATGGTCGAACATCACAATCTCGTAATTTTGAAAAATTAATTTGTATTTCCCAATAAGGCTTTTCAGGCTCCTAAAGCATGCATTTGAGTTATGAAATCACAATGGATAAATATAATAAAAATCAATACTGATTACTATTCTTTATTGTTTATGTGTTGGATAAATTCAGAATAACTATGCACAGTCCAAACAGGAATATTAAAATAAGATCTGCATTCCTTGGCATTATGAAGTGTCAGAGGCACTCCCAATACCTAGAGTGGAAAATTCTTGCACAGTCTTTCAAAAATATACTTACAGGGAATTACGACTGTCGTCATCACTATCACTGTGACCACTAAGAAAAGGCAGATGCTCCCTAGAGTCCCAGCAAGGAACTTCTCAGGAAGTGAAGTGAAGCCTGCAGACAGGGAAATGACAGCAGTGAGGACGACGCTGGAGAAAGCCATTGAGAACGGAGCAGGGAGAGGAAGGGGTCCAGAAAGGTGCGAGATGTGTCATGTTCGTGTACCAAGCACCCACAATGAACGTAAACACCACGTGAACTAGAAATGGTGATAATAACAGTAAAAGCAATAATGACAACAATAATGAAATGGGGAAAGGCAATCTAGAGATGTGGGGGTGAAGAGAGAAGGAAGGGGGAATGAAAATGAATCGATATATGTTCACGACCTACTCCCTAAGCCAAATACAAACTTCATATAGTGCAAGCATGTACTAATAAAATAACTTTTTTAAAAGATGAAGGGACGGGAGAAGAGAAATTTTAAAAAGAACTTACATGTGTCACACCCATGTACCAACTCCCTGTACGGGATGCAATCATTAAGTATCGGAAATGTACTAATAAAAAACAAACACTTAAAAAAAGATCTACGTAGAAGGGAAACCACAGGCACAGGGAAACACACAGAAAGCTGAACATCAAACCCACACCTGCAGCTGCAATCTGTCTCTAGCATATACGCTGCACGGTCAGTAATACTCCAGCAGTTCTCCATGCTTTAGAACAGCCCGTAACTCCAGTTAAAGTGCCTGTCCTCACAAGTTAAAAATATATGGGCCCACTCCCTACTTCTTCCCACATCTCTGCCCCCACTGCACATCCTAGAACAGCTCCCGGGAGGTTGGCAGAAAAGTGATACCTTTGCAGCTGTGGTCCTCGTCATCCCCCCGACACTCCTGAGAAGCACTCTGAAGGGTTAATGTTGCGTAGGTTACTTGCTGCTCACTTGCTGAAATCGAGCTTTTCCTGCCCTTGGGCTGCCTCTGCTGCTTCTTTGGGCCCTTGGCCAGATTCAGCTCAGAGTACACTACTCGAGGGTTACTCATCTTGGTGGCTGAGTGATGTTGGGGATCAAGTTCTAGTCATTGTGCTGCAAAGATAAACAGATTTTGTCAAAAGAGGGTGGGAGGATGTCAGTATCGGCTCATCTAGAAGTTGAAAGATCTAAATATTTCCCAACATTATGTCATATGGTAAAATAAGTAACTTTTAGAAGATATTCTCTTTTGGACAAAACATTTTGGCTAAGCAATAAAAAATAAATTAATTATAAATAAAGATGTTCTCGACTAAGGATGTCTAAAATAAGTAAAAGCCGGTTTCCACAGGAATGTTCCAACATCAAGAATATCTTAACACATACATAAAAATTGTCCTTAACTTTTGTGATAAATTGAAGTACAAGGACAGTTAAAAACTGAATGCTCTAAACATAATAAATAGAAAAGAAGATATATATTAAGTTTTGTACATTACTTTTGTCTACTAGATTGCACTTATTTATTAAAATGGATTAGTGATGATTAGATGACCTTTTTATTTTGAATAACTGAGGAGTTTGGAGAAATCACTAAAAAATTTTAGGATATTGTTATAAATTTTAGGATATGTTAGGAAATATTCTGTGACACAAGAGATTTAGAATTAATTCTGGCTATGAAATTTTTAATGTGACCTTTAAAATTTGCACTTACCATCAGATAGCCTAGTTTACACTTTGAAATCCAAATAATATTTATATTTAACATATATAATAATATTTATATAATATAATAATAACATATATACTATAATATATAATAATAACATATATATAATATTTATATTGTATATTTAACAAAATATAATGCATGTAAATACTTAACAGTCAAAGTGGCATTTCAAGTTCTCAGTGAGTTTTAACTATTTAAACTTTTTAGTCATGGTTGCTATGCTATTGTTTTTGACTCATATCAATTAGTCCGTGTAAAATAAATTATTAGACAATCTGATAACAGTGTGATATTATCTAGTTTTGAAATATTTTGATCAATTTTAGAAGTCTTTTGGTTGTTCACAGTTAAGTTTAGCATTTTATGTAACTGAGCTAATCCTAATTTTTATTTAAACACTAGTTTTGTTTAAGCAAGTGAAGAATTGTCTATGTTTTTACTCATTGCACAAAATTCTTTTTAAGAATTTCTGATTGCTGGTTTAAATATAAATCAATATATTATTCTTTAAAGACCAACAAAATACTGATTACAATATCTAAAGTTACTTATTCATCTGTGTGATAGTTACGGGTTTCATTTTAAGTTATATTGGGTAACAAATCAGAATATGTTATCAAAATATTAATTCCTCATAGGCAATAATCAGAATACTGCAAGAAATCCTCCAATGTATTTATTTTAAGATTTTTTTCCCCTGAATGTTTAAAATAAAGGTATCTTCACTCACTTTGATTTTATCCTATATGAATTGCCCCTCAGTTGCATCCCAGGTAGCATTTGCTCTTTCTCTAACCAAGTTAGATTAGCAGAGAGACAGAGAAGAGCCACCATACCTTCTGTTGCTAGAAGTCCTGCATCCTTCAGTGAGAAGCTCTGGTCACATGTGCAAGAAGGTCTCCTGCCACTGAGTAATAGGAAGTGAAATTAAATGACATAAATCCAGGCCAAGAACAAACTACACCCAGTCTTCACAGGCTGTTCTCAGAGCGAGTCAAGAATGGAAAAAGTAGACTTTACATCAGCATGTCACTTACGGTTGAACAGGAAATTCTCACATGTGGGCTAGTTTGAAATTCATTTATTTCATTGCACACCTCCAGAATATAGGACACTGAGGCTCCCAATGAAAGGATAGTAAGGGGGGCCAGATGTGCAGTTCAGCCTGCCCATTTTCAAGTGTTTCTGCAGCCCATGGGGAAAAGGAGCTTGAACACCACACTGATGGTTAACTCAAGCACACACACACCACCTTGTAAAGAGACTGTCATATTCTCAATGTAAGATTAAGTTGCTAAATATCAGCTTATTTTTTTTTATTCTATTTATTTATTTTGGTGCTGGCAATTGAATCTCAGGCTTGAAGCACACTAAGAATGTTGTGCAATATCATACAGTTCCTGGGCCAGGGATTTAGCTCAGTGGTTCCACCACCTGCCTTCAAGCACAAGGACCCAAGTTTGATCCAGGTACCAAAAGAAAAAAAAAATCATGCAGTTCCTTTTCTCAAATCCTTGTTATATCCCTTAGATTATGATGGAAAAACTACAGAACATTTGCTAACATTATCCACAGTTATAATATTTGCAGCTAACTGCTGTTTGCCATTTCTACATTTTCGACCTCTTGTTGCTGGTTACAAAAACCACTATCACCAAACGTATGGTCTCGGTCTTTCTGCTGGAGTTCTTAAAATTCCTCCATTTCCCTTTATATTTTAAATAAATTATTTAATGTTCAGTAATCCCTTGACAAATCTAAATATATTCAGAGAAATAAAACATTATTCATATTGAGCTATGTCAACACTCCAGAAATCAAAATATGTTTTAAAGTACTCCTCTTATCATTTATTCCTTCCTCTTTTATGCCCTCCCCATTCTTGTTCCCTTAGCTGTGGACTGAGGCAGTGCCGTGCCCCTAGAGACCTACCAAGTGATGGACTGGAATATCTATATTTCAGCAGAGTTACTTCCTTGTAATGACCAAAAAATCTGCTTCAAACTAGGGAAAACTAATTCTCCAAATCCTAGCCGAGGAGAGTTGATGAAATTGGAAATCTCATACTCATATCCTCTACAGCAACAATAATTTTTCAGCCCTCTGTGGAGAAAAGGGAGGTTTGGGGACTACATGGGAGTCTGTCACATTCTAGCGGGGTGCAGGCTCAGAGAGGGGCGCCGTGAGAGAGCAGATCACACTGCCGTGACAGGTTTGTCAAAAGTGATCCCAGCTAATCCGAGCTCCAGGCACAGACATGGCCTCACCTACCTGTGGCTCAGGCTGCAACTTCATCCCAAATGAAAGCTTAGATGTGGAGAAAGGGGAGTTGAAGAAAAGAAATTGGGCTAGAAAAATGAACAGACATTCTCAAAGGAAGAAATACAAATGGCCAACAAACACATGAAAAAATAAATGTTCGACATCTCTGGCCACTAGAGAAATGCAAATCAAAGCAACACTAAAATTCTGTCTTACTCCAGAAAGAATGACAATCATTATGAAATCAAACAATCACAAATGCCAGCATGGCTGTGGCAAAAAAGGAACCCTCCTACACTGTTGGCGAGAATGCAAGCTGGTACAATCATTATGGAAATCAGTGTGGAGATTTCTCAAAGAATTGAAATGAGAAATTCCTTACAACTCAGCTATCCCCCTGCTAGATGTCTTCACCAAAGTCATCATACTACAGCAATACTTGCAAACCAACGGTTATAGCGGCATAATTCACAATAGCTAAATGCTGGAAGCAGCCTGTATACCTGTCAACAGATAATTGGATTAGCAAAATGTGGTATCTACATATAATGGACTACTACTTGGCTATAAAGAATGACAAATTTGAGACACTTGTGGGAAAAAAGACGCACCTGGAAAACATAATGTTGACTGAGATACATCGGACACAGGCATGAATGCTGTATGGTAATCCTCACTTGAGTGAGACAAAGTACAAACAAAGAAAATGATAAAAGATAGAAAGGGACAAGGGGACAGATCTTGTCCGATAGGGAAATTGACCAAGGGAGCAAAGAGAGGGGGAAGGGAAAATGAGACCAATAAAGTTATGCCCCGTACAGGAACCAACCTAACAGCCCTAAGCAGTGTAAACATTAGAAGCCATAGCATGTGGTAAGACAGATAGTATCAACAAGTACTGAGCAAATATCAACAAGTACCAGCTCCCCTAGCCCTCCGGCGCGCAAACAACCATTGCAGATTCTGACATCTCTGATCCCATGGGTGCCCTTTGTGGCTGTCCTGCCTCTGACTTTATAAGCCTACCTAATAAAGCCTCTTACATAGTGATACACATATTTGCTACCAATTCTCTTCTTGGTTCTGATTATCAAAGAACAGGCAATCTCTTTCCATTTTGTGATTTCCTCTTTAATCTCTTTCTTTGCAGTATTGTAGTTTTTATATCTTTCATTTCCTTAGTTAAGTTAATTCCTAGGTAGCCAAGTAGTTTGAGCGAAGCTACTGTGAGTGAGATTACTTTCTTGATTTATTGCTCCGTGGGTTCATTCTTGGTGTATAAGAACACTTCTGATTTTTTGTGTGTATTTTGTATTCTGCTGCTTTGCTAAATTTGTTTATTAGTTGTACAGTTCTGCTGGTGGGATTTTGGGGATCTTTTATGTAAAGGAGAATGCCCCTGCAAATAAGGGCTATTTGTTTTTCTTTTACCTATTCAAATCCCTTTTATTTCTTTCTTTTAACCAACTGCTCTGGCTAAAATTTTGAGAACTGTATTTGGATGGGGTAGCTACGCACAAACACCCAGGCTTTGGCTGACTTCTGAACGACTTTCTTGATTTCCTACCCCGTCTCTCTTTGACTATCGCTGGGCCACCTCTGTGTTCCGGAGCCAGAAGATTCTGGATGGGTGTGAAGCGTCATGACGTCATGACGTCTGGCCAAGCCGCGCCTCTCCGGCTCCTCTGCGTCTGCGGGTCAGCAGTCCATTAAAGCATCACTGGCCAAGCCGGGACCTCTGTGGTCCCGAGGCTCCAGGGGCTTAGCAGCTTTAGGCTGGGGGCTGGGGGACCTTCGCAGGGATCAGTGGGCAGTAGGCAGGATGTCGGGCGGACAAAGGCTCCTCGGTGTTTCAGGGAACAGTGGTAGCTTTTACTTTCCAAAAGGGCCCCGTGGTGCTAGCTCAGTCACTGCTCTCTGGCTCTCCCTTTCTCTAGTACCCTAAACTACAAATATCTCACTTTCTGGGCTCCCTTTCCTAGTGGATAGGGTGGAGAGGGTAGGAACCTATCCCAGTGGTCCTACCACCGCCACTGTACTGGCTCCTTCCTCAGGATGTCAGATTCTCTCCCACGATGACATCTTCCCTCCACTGGGGGTTAAGAAGTGCGTAGTCCAAGGGCAGTCCGGATTGGTGAGGCCCACGGTTCCTCTATTGCTGCTTGACAAAGTTCCAGCAATGACAGGCCTCAGGTTGAAAGCATCACTCCGGCCTTTATTTTTGCTTGCACTTTTGATTGGTTTAAATGTAATTACAGGAAATCTGGTTTTGTTTTGTTTTGTTTTAAATTTAATTTATTGGTACATTCTAGGTAGACGGCACAGCTACATTCATTACTGGGATCTTGTACCTTTACGTGCCAGGTCTTGGTTCTCATTACGGGAAGTTTGGTTTTAATGAAAAAACCTGTACAAGCTACTTCTGAGAAATATGTGTCAGTAGTGTCAGTCATTGAGCCCCTAAGAGCAACCCCTGATCCAGGGGCTTTCTTTGAAGGGGTTTCCAGTTTTTCAATAATTGAGGATTTCATTCCAACAAGAGCCTCCCAGTTTTCTTCCAAGAGTCCAGTTAATTATAAAAATCCCAGAGAGGTGCTCAGAGATTTGTGGTAGAGTGACCTCATGGCCACTAGGCAACCCCCCTGTTTCCTACACTGGGGCTTACATAGATGAAGTTAGAATGGTATGGAAAGATAAAAAATGAGTAAGATATCAAGATTTGCCCTTTGCAGAAAGAATGAAATGTTCAGCAACACAGTGATGTCTACGCACTAAAGAACAAGTAAATACTATTGCCAGACAGCGGAATAGTTATTATAGAAAGGCTTAGTAAGTGCAAAATACTTGCTTTCTGACTATATAAAATAAAAGTTTAACCAAGAAGTTGAATACCTACAGTAGTTCTTTATCAAAACCTAGTGACCTGCTAAGAGTTGGCTGCAGTCTTTTCCATGGTAGCCAAAATAGACGTATGAACTTTGAAAACTGGTGGCAAGCTCAGATTGTTCTTTTGATTTTGCTTTCATTTACACCTTTACTAGGAAATTGTTTGATTGATAATAGCTGAGGCAATAGATAAAATGTTCCCAGAAATAACAATAATAAAATAGGTTTGCGCTGTAGTTTATTGGAAAAATGATCTTAAAAGTTTTTATCTAGAAATTGTAAACGTATACCAATTTCCATATGTAACCTTTACTATATGATATAAATAAAGAAGTTCTCCAGTGTCCAGAAGGCACACCACCTCATACCTACAGAGTGTGTCTCGTTCCTTCACAAGTGCAGACTCCAACCCTTCTCCTCAGGACCTGAACTCTCGCTGAGGCCAGACCCGGGCACCAGATGCCCTTTCTTAACCCCTTAGGCTGGACTCATTTTGATGGGCTTCTCCAACAGGCCTTTCCATATTTCGGTGTGCTTGTGTCCCCTGTTGGTGGGTTTCTATGCTTCCTGGGATGTGTCTTCCAAGCCTCCCTCAACTGCCCCTGCTGCTGGTCAGCTGTGATGGAATCTTCATGCTTCCTACACCGGCCTCAGTCATCTCACCTCTGGTACTTGGATACCTTGGCTGTTTCAGGCCTAAGATGTTCAGGAGGATGGAGAAACATGTGGACCCAGGAAAGCTCTTCCTTGCAGGGAAAATCTGCTCTGCAAACACTTTCAGAGCATCCCCTCCTGAGGTCCCTGGTACTCCTCGCCTCCATGTTTGGGCTTCTGGACTGGTTCACTGGAGACCCTTTGGGGAATAGCAAACCCTCCCACAGGAGAGTCACAAATCCAAAGCCCAACATACAGGAATTGCAGAAGAAAACCAACTAATGGAACGCCTTTAAAAAGGACACTACAACAGGGTGAGAAAATAAGCAAACTGTTGGTGATCTCATCAATAACAATTTTTTTTAGTGGAAATTACAGCTTATTTTATGAATTTTTTCATTAAATTTATTGGTACATTTTAGGTATATGATGATTACCTTCATCATTGGGATTTTGTAGCTTTACATGATGTATCTTGGTTCTTATTTTTCCCCATTCCGTGCCCTCCCTTCACCCCTCCACCCAGCTTATTTATAAAGACTTTGTTTCCATTTTTTCCTTTTCTCATATTTTTTCTTTTTTCCTTCTTTCCTTTCCCTACCCACATTCCTTCCCCCTTTGTCCCTTTACTATTTCACATTATCTATTATACTTTTTAGTCCTTATTTACACTTTCAGTTTCTCACACCAGAGAGACTATTTCGTATTTACACGTGTGGGTCCTACTTATTTCACTGAAGTGTATGGTCTTGATGTGAATCCATTTAGTTATAAATGTCTCTAGTTTCTCATTCTTTATGGCTTTTTATGTATTTTTTAAGGAAAATTAAAATTATGCACCTTTCTCTTCCATCTATTATAACAGATCCATAATTTAAAAGCCACTTTCTATATTCTCTTTGCTAAGTTTCACAAAATAATGATAATTTGCTTTATTTGCAAGATGTGAAGTGAGACAGGAAAAATATGAACTCATGTTTGAAACCCCAATGACCTCTTTCTATACTAGAAATGAGATTAGCAGTGAAGCCTGCTGCTCTTTATATACTGGTCTAAACTATAAGAACATGCAGATTTGCTGCCAGTCAACACCACAGCAGCAGGACTAGTCAAGTCTTTGAATGATCACCTATTCGGAAAACAAAATTGGTCATTCTGTGCCAAGATGTGCACGGATGACATGGCTGCCGTGACTGGACAGCTTTCTGGTTTCACTACTCAGATCAAAGAGGTCCCTTCTGAATGGGAGTCCACACACTGTCTCATCCACAGAGAAATGATCACTAGATGAAAATGTAACCTGAATTTAAAAACACTTTGCAAAGCCAGGTGTGGTGGTGCACACCTGTAATCCCAGCACTGGGGAGAGTGAGGCAGGAGGATCGCTGTGAGTTCGAGACCAGCCTGGGCTACATAGTGAGTACCAGGTCAGTCTCAACTACATAGTGAGACCCTGTCTCAAAAAATAAAAAATAAAACACTTTGCAAGATATGATTAAAATGGGGGAGTAATTTTTATTAGGATGTGAGCAGTCTACCTAATAGTCCGTTGGAGTCATCCGGGTGAAGGATACCCGTGCTTTGATCTAGTTTGGCCTGGTTACTGCTAGCAAAATGTAACTAGATTCTGGACAAAATTTGAAAATGTGTGGAAGAGAAATCAGGTATAGCTCCAAGCTTAATTGCTTCAGCAGTACATAAAATGTTGTAGGGATTGACTTGGATAAGGGATCCATGCAGTTGGGTTTAGATATAAGTTTAATAAATGTATTAAATGTTTGGATACACATAGGACATCACATAGACACTTTGATGAATGGTTATGAAGCTCAGATGACTGCTTTGTTCTGGGAATGCTAATTTTGTAGGTATAAGAGCATCAGCAACAGTGATACTATTGAGTATACCATGAAGTATGTGACCATCAGATATCTAAGGTTTGACCTTTTGGAAACCCACATGTGTTAGATATTGGGGTGAGAAAGGTAACCACAGAATGTTTCTGAGAAAACTAATTAAAGAGATTGAAGGAAAACATGAAAGTGTACCTTAAGATCATAGGACGCCTTTAAAAAGTGTTGCAGTGGGACAAAGCAATAAGCAAAGAGTTGGTGACCTCATCAATCGTAATTTTTGTTTGTTAAAATATTTCCTTGCTTTCTGCTACATCCATGCGCATTTAAATCAAAACAAGAACTAGATCACACTTTGTTCCATCTTAAGGTCCATAATTTAAAATCCATGTTCTTTCTTCTCATTGCTCAGTTTCCCAAAATATTAATTCTTTTCATCTGCAAGATGTGAGGCTCAGAGGGGGGCAAAAGAAAAACTCATGTTGGCAGCGCCATCAGCTTCTTCCTGTGCTGCCGGGGAGGAAGTGAGACCAGCTGCGAAGGCTCATGCTCTTTACGCGTTAATCTGAGTCACTGGCTCCTGGAGACGTTTTCATACCTGGGCACAATGTGTCATATAATAGAAGATCGGATGTGTTTAGTCACTTCCCAGAGCTTTCGGCAATCTTAACAGAAAAACTTCCAAGGCAAACATCTAAACCTTGTCTGTGTCCAACTTTCCAACCCTCTCTCCGCTCCCCCGCTCCACTCACTTACCGCCTTTCCCAGGCGTTAGTTGTCTGAGCAACTACTCCGCACTACTTAACAGCTATACGCATCTCACCAATGTTTCTGCACTGAAATAGTCACATACGTGCATTTAAAGCAGCGATGATGAAGTTCTGCGGAAGGCATGACTTTCTACCACAGACGCACTCTCTGACGCAGAGTTCCTGCCCTCAGCTACAGTTGAGGGAAAGCATTGGAAATCTCAAGCCAGCAAACGTTAGCAGTGCTAGTGCTAAACGGAAAAGACGTTTACCTGACTTGCTAAGTCAAATAGTTACTGCAATCAACGTTAACGTTTTCACTGGTTAGTAGTGGACATTATTTTTTTTTAAATGACTCATATTAATCAGCTGTGCGAGATTTGACTTTCCAGACACGCACTGAGCTCCTCCATGGGCTGCGTCCTTGTCCACTCCAAACTCACTGTTCAAGAAGCCAGCATCCGCTCGCCTCGC